CTTTGTAGTTACATATAGCATCCTCAATTAGATTATTAAGAATATGTATAGGAGTTGCAGTAGAATTTCCAGGTAGAGCAACATAGTTGAAGGGTAATAGAATAGAATCTTTTTGATAAACAGTGCTGAGTCGATTAGTAATAATTTTAGTATAGATTTTGCTGATATGTTCTACAAGGCTAATTGGTCTAGTAAGATTGAGGTTGTTATCAAAAGTATTACGTTTGGGTATAGGAAATATTCTACTATTTTTCTATTGTTTTGGGATTTGACCCTGAGTAAGACAAAGATTAAAAAGAACTGTGAGAGCTTGTAAACATGTTAGGCCAGAGTGTTTGATTATTTTGTAGCTGATGCCAGTAGGTCTACAAGCTTTGCTATTTGGGAGCTTAAAGATAATTGAAGTTATTTCTTCAATTGTAATTGGTAAGATAAGAGTATTATACCATTCAGGATTAATATGGGTCTGAAGTAGGTATTATTGTTGCCAAAAGCTATCAAAAAGTGTTTGGTTAATAGGTTTATAGGCAGTCCAGTTATAAAATGCTGTTGAATATGTTGTTTAATAAGAGTTGGCTCAGTAATTAGTTGATCTGATAATTTAATATTTGAGAAATGTATAGGGGCTTGGTAGCGATTAAGAATACTGTTAATAGTATGTGTAGGTTTGCTGACAAGAGTCTCACACCTCTTCTCAAAAGCTTGTTAGATTTGTTGACGGAAAAGAAGAGAGTTTTCAGCATGGCGTGCTTGGTATAATTAGTACAATATGTTCTTAGCATGATTTATCCATCTAGAGTTTGAGCAGAATCTGAACTTGAAAGAGTTTGAAGATTGCATTGAGATGTGAATTAATGTCCTGAATTTGTGAGTTAACTAGAAAGATATCTGGAGTTGTATTAGTATTTTTTAAATTTTTAATTAAATAACCAAGTTTTTTAAGAGACAAGTATAGTTGTGTGCTATAAGGTGTGTATTTGTGATTATAACTATGTTTATGGCTAATTTTGTTTGGAATAGTAGATGTAGCAGCACTTATAATAGAATGTTCAATCTTATGCTATATAGTATCTATACTTTTAGAGGTTTGTAGTAATAATGGTATTTGATATTGATTGAGTTTTGTTGTGAGAATATCTGAAAACTCAGACCAATTTTCTGAGGTAATATCTTTATAATTAAATATATGATAGCTAATATCTGTATACAAACGAGGAGGTTTGCTATAGATATTAGGAAATGTTAAAGATGAATTAAGTATAAGATGATCACTACGAGTACTGGTATCACTGGTATCTAGTTTATATGACAAGAGAAACTAGATATTAAACTGATCAGTCCAAATATATTCAATTCTGCTAGAGTAAGTGTTGTTAGACCATGTGTAGTGAGTGTTATCCAAATATATACTAATATCATACATGTTGGAATGGTGTAAAAAATTTATAAGTCTATATTTTGCTGAAGAACTAAGGTTGAAATCATGTGTATTGAAATCTCCAAGAATAATAGGATGAAGATTATGTTGTAAAGCAAACTGAATCCAATTAATAATAGTAGATTGAGTAGTAGTTCTTTTTGTCATATCTGTAAAAGAAAAATAAACTGAGATAATGTGAAGCTTTATGTTGCTTTTGAAGAATAGATTAATAGCAACAGCACCACCAGGGTGGGTAAGACAATTGTGCATATGTGGTTGAAGAAAGTTGTGTATCATAATAGCAGCACCTTCTGCTGAGCTATCTGAGTTGGCCAAAAGTATGTAAAAAGATTATTATTGTAAAAGGATAAATTAGATTTTTTTAAAATTTTTGTTTCGGTAATGCAGACAAAGTTATTTGTTATTAATATAAAAAATTAAATAGACCATACTTACTTCTTGACACTTTCCATTTACTCCTATTCTTTTTTTATTCTGTATAAATTTGTCTGGGTCTTGTTTAATTTTCCATAATTCGTGTGGGTGTCGATAAAGGTTTTTGAGGACATGATTTAATTCACTCAATTTAAACCTAAAATTGCCCTTCAAAGCCTTACTAATAGCAGGCATAATATCCTTGGACATGTGACAAGATATTTCAGACTATTTTTTGGTAGGATCCAAACACAACGAATCATCAAGACCGCTTAATATTTGAATTACTTTATCCTACACATTAAAATAAATATCAATTAAACTGATAGCTCAGTTATTCTTTAAATATGAGTATATCAAGTGAAAACTAGGAAGTTTAAATATTATACTACAAAATAACTATTATTTTATTTAAACTTCATGATTTTCACTTGCTGATATTTATTTGTTACATATATAGAACAATTTATACTGTTCTTCATCCATATCTTCCAAAATCTCATATGGCCTTTTAGAATAGCCACCAGGTAGTTCAGGTGATACTGATAGGTTTTGATGATTATTATTATTACTAGTAACTTGATATTGCTGTTTGTCTTTGTTTTTTTTGTTGGTGGTGGTGTTGGAACCTGTATTACCGTTGGTGTTATTTGACTTAATATTGTTGCTTGTAGTGTTGGTGCTAGTTTTGGTGAGGAGTTGGTATCAGCATTGTCAGTGATAGTATTGGTATTAGCTTTATTGGTACTAGAGAAATAAATATTGTTCATTTAATTCTCAAGATCTATAGTATTTAACAGTTGCAAAAGACTAGTAGTACCAGTAGTGTCAATTAAGTTGTTACTTTGATCATTATTGTCATTAACACCTTTATCTTGTCCACTTGGTATTTGGGTTCGAGGTGCCTTTTTTAGTTCTTTTACTTCATTAAGTAAAGTATGAACTGTATTTTTCAAAAAACTTATTACTAGTATTATAAAATAATTTGTTAGACCTATAGGTAAATCAATAGCTTTATAAAAAAAAATTTTTACTGAAACTTGCGAAATTAAATTAATTGTAAATAGTATTAAGATTGCTTATTCGCAAGTTTCTGTAAAGTAAAAAAAAAATTCATATAGCTTATATCACCTTCATCATTTTTATCTTGTAAACTAAAATGGCATTTAGAACATTTATTATTTCTATCATTTCTTGGAGATCTAGATCTAGACCTAGATCTAGACTTTCACTTATAGCTTTCTGACTGACAATAGTTTTAGTTTGATCAGAGAGGAGTTGAAGAGTGGTTGCAGCTTGAACAAATACTGTGAGGAGTTGTAGAGCAGTCACAGCCATGGCTTGAACAATAACTATGATTTGATGACATGGAAGGTGAAATAGATCGATGACTGCATATAGTATTTATTTTAAAAGGTCTTCTAATTTGTATTTTTTCAAAAAGAAATAAGAGTAAAAATATAAAACCAAAAATGTCAAAAAGGTTTTTGTTTAGTGATATTGTTTGGTTGATAGTTTTATTTAAGAAAGAAAGAAAAAGAAAAAAATCATTTCTTATATAATTCACCTTAGACTAAATATATAATACTGCTATACTTAATTATTGAATAACAATATAATAGTTACTTCTAAATAAAATATAAACGAAGTGAAAAGTATATCTTCTAAATAAAATATAAACGAAGTGAAAAGTATATAAACTAATATGGCTCAAATAAAAGTATGATATATTACGACGTGAAAGAGTAAATCTGCTAACATGTACTTAAAAAAATGTATGATATATTACATAAAATGAAAGAGTTAAATCAGTTATCGTAAGCATAAAAAAAAAGCATGACTTATTTATAGATTTTAGTCAGATCTTATTATTGGATAATTGTTCTCTGAGTTAAAATAGAATATAACCAGACTTGCATGATCTACATATAGAAATTAAAATACATATTATGCAAGTTTGATTTGTTTATATTAAAAAAAAACCAGAATACCGACAGCTTTATTTTTATTTTATTACAATATATTAAATATATTGATTATGAATAAGTTTAATTTTTATACAAAAAAACTGAATATACATATATTTCGTACTGTACAGAAGATAATTTAGTACTATACTCTATAAAATTTAGAAAGGGTATAATAC